CAGTGCCACAGACTGATCGACTCCATGCCACGCCGCATTGCTGCAGTAATTCAGGCAAAAGGAGCCCCAACTAAGTATTGAGTGCTGTACATGCTCATACTTTTCAGTTGGCCAAGATTTCTAAAAATCCTTTCTTTGTATTGGTCTTAAGTAATATTCTAATTTTCTGAGATACTGAATTTGGGATTTTCCTTAGTTGTCAGTTATAATCATCAAAATTAAAAGAAATTGAAAACAGAAAACATAATGTGTGACAAAGTGATGTGAACATAAAGGTTATGTAAAAAAAAAAAAAAAAAAGGAATAGGAAATGAGCAAAGAGCCTGAAGAGGTAATGAAAGTCCAAAATGGCTACTAAATATTCAAAGATTTTCATCCATCCATTTTGCAAAAAATAGAGTTTAGTAATAGCTCTGAATACATCCACAGACTAGTGGGAATATAATTCCTCTGGCATCCAAAGCAAATGTCTGTGTAAATTTGGTGAGATTGGTATTTCTTTGAATTTGGAGAAGCACATCACCAAAGCCATATATGGCTGAAGTTGTCTGGCAAATTGTTCGAATGTCTTAAATCCAGAACACCTTTTGAGATATCCTCTGTATTATTCCACTTAATGCACACTTCAACCTTTTTTTTCTTTCCTAGCTTATGCTTACTTTGCACTTATTTTGGTGGGGTTTTTTTTCTTTTCTGACTTCTTGAGGATTATATGAATAGTTCATCAATTTTCAACCTTTATGTTTTTTGAATATATGTATTTCCAGGTTATAAATTTTCCTGTTAACAGCATCCCTCACATTTTGCCGACTTATCCTATCAATTAAAATATCCAATTATGGCTCTGGGTTTTTCTTTCTTCCCTTGGTTCTGTCAATTTTTGCTTATTGTATTCAGAAGTGCTGTTACTGGGAGCAACACATTTCTCCAAGATGAACTGACCCTTTTATTATTATTATAATGCCCCATTTTTATCTCTGGTAATCCTTTTTGCTTTCATATCTTTATTCATCCTTTTCTTTTCAACCTTGGAAACAACATGTAAGTAGTTCCTTACTAATTTTTTATCTAGTTTTCCATCAGTAAGAGAAAAGTGTTAAGGTCTCCAGCAATGACTGTATATTTGTCTCATTCTCTCTTTAATTATATCATCTTTGCTTTTGTATTTTGAAACATTGTTATTAGGCCCACAGATATATGCGTATATAAGTCCTTTTGCTAAATTGACCCTTTCCTTTCCTCACTTGGTCAGAGATCAGAAAGTGATGAAGCATGAGACATAAGAATCTGGGGGGGCTGGGGGGGCGGGGGTTCTCCAGTAGGAGGGACAGGAAATGCAAAGATAGGATAAACCAGCTTTGGTGTCTGAAGAACAGCACGAAGTCCTGTGTGGCTGGACAAGGTAAGTGATGGGGCCAGAGGTAGATGAGGACCGGAGGTGGGGGGGGGGGGGGGGGGGGCAGGTCACTTAAGATTTTATAGGCCAAGGCAAGGATTTGGAGACAAAGGAGGTCCTTAAAGGGAACAGAATGGGAGCACCCAGGAAGATTTACTGCATTTATTTTGGGAGGCCATGGACGGAATGTGTCTCCCTAAAACTGATATGTTAAAAACCTAACCCCCAGAGCCGGCTGAGTGGCGCGTTGGTTAAGAACTGGCTTGGGACGCCTTGGGCCCCGGTTCGGATCCCACATATGAGGGCCAGTGACACTGCCCTCCACAGCTAAGATGCTGACAACAGCTCAACCTGGAGCTGGGCTGCTATGAGTCGCCGGCGTTGGCTTAGGCTGCAGACCCTGTGGCAGTGGGTTGCCATGGGCTACCGTGTGTAGCCAGCAGCCAGCGTGAGCGGCCAGCAGCCGCAGTGAGTGGCCGTCCAGAATCTGGCGACTGATGTGCCTCGCCTGGGAAGAGTGCAATGATGGTGCCAACTTGGGCCAGAGAAGCAATGTCTTCCACAACTAGACTGAAGAACAAAAGGACAGCAACTTGTCTGTTCCCCTTCCCCCAATTCCCCAGTGCTGTTTCCATCCCCCATTTCCCCAATAAAAATCTTTTTAAAAAAAGCTAACCCCCAATGTGATGGTATTTGAAGGTGGGCCTTTGAGGGTGATTAGGTCCAGAGTAGAGCCCTCATGAATGAGATTAGTGCCCTGAGAGACCCAGAGAGCCCACACCTTGTGAGGACAGGGAGAAGATGGCTGTCCATGAACCCAGGAAGTGGCCGCTTACCAGTCATGGAATCCGCCAGCACCTTGATCTTGAAGTTCAGAACAGCCTCCAGAATTGTGAGAAATTTCTGTTGTTTTTAGCCATCCAATCTATGGTATTCTGTCACAGCACCCCGAACAGACTAAGGACACTTAGCCCCATTAGGGTCCCATGGGATGAGCCACAAATCACAATAGGCCAACCATATTTTACACACACACACACACATACACACACACTTTCTGAACAATTTCTAACAAGCTTGAACAAATGAACTGAGAGAGAAATTTTATCTACACTTGCTTTTCAAAAACTGGCAAACGCTCATGAAACAGCACAGCTAAAATAATATGAGGAAAGACTGGACGAGAGCAGCACTCATTTGGTTTAAGCATAATAATGTAGTAAACTTAGAATAAAACATTTCAAATTCATATGACCCCACCACCATTTAAAAACAAGGACACTAAGGCTAGATTTTAAAAAATAAAAGGCCTGGATTTATTTACCAGATGGACTTTATGTTGGCTATTTACTCTTTTTCCCCTCAGCCCCAAACTCACTCTATTTGAGTGCTTTATGAAAATGAATCCGACTGCTGTACGTTGCCAGCTGGCACTGAAGCTTTGTCAGCAGAGGGCGCTGGAGAAACGTCACAGGAGGCCGGAGTTTCCAGTCCTGGTCCTGGTGCCGTCTCAGCTCCAGCCTGCAGGGTGCGTAGCTTCTCCGGTGCCCTCCTGCTGCGGGGCACAGCTGCCTGCAGTGCTCAGCTGCCAGCAGCTGCCGGCAGCTCCTC